AAGGAGTATTTCTAACATATCTTTTGATTAATTCAAACAGGTAGATAGAGTTAATTGATGATATCTTCTTTTTAAAAATATTTTTAAATATGATAAATTCTACCTCAATTGTACTTATTTTAATTGATATTTTTTCCCCATAAATACCCAACATTTTTAACAGTTTTATAGTACTTTACAAAGCTAACAAACTTCCAAAAACTTTCTTATAAGTAAAAATGGGAGTTATATTTTAAAATTGTATTTCAAATAACGCTATTCATAAATTCATAAATTATTAAAAAAATCTTATATATGAGTTGCATACACTTTTTTATTTTATTATTTATTTTTCTTTCCTACTGGATGAGTGAGCTTATTTTCAATTTCACTTTTTTATGGAAAAAAAACTAGAAAATTTCTCCATGCCTTATCAGAAATGTTGCAAAAAAACAATTTATATGACATGAAAAATAATAAGTACTAAATTTAAACCATCCATGTTAAGTATTAATATTTTAAATTTAGTAAGCACTTAAATTTTATACCAAGCAATTAAATATATTTAGAGGATGCCAAAAGATAGATATACGTGTTTGGAGCTATAAGAAAATCACGCAGCGCTAATTATTTGAAGGTGTAAAAATGCCTCTTCATTTTGTTTCAAAATAAATAAAAATAAATTAAATTATTACTGCATCAGAATAGTTCGGAATAAAATACTGCTGTTTATTTTCTAATCATAAAATTATCATAAATGATTAATAACCGTAATGAAGATAATTTGTAATTATTCCCCTAATAATATATAAATAATTTATAAATATGGAATAAGTTTTTGATGAAAAAAAAATTAAAAATTAAAAATACACTGTATTTTAAAATAATAATATGATATTTTATTATTAATTTTATATTAAAATATTTTTATAAAATTTTAATATGTGATTTTAATCAAAATTAAATAAATTGAAAAAAAAATTAAAAATCAGTAAAACAAATTAAAAATATTCAATGATTCATCCTTTGTCTGAATATAGTGACTTGCAAAATCATCCATCTTCAGTTCATCAAATACTGTCTTATCTTATTACTCCATTAAATATTTGTCATTCTAGTTTGGCGAAAAAAAATATTTTCCTTATATAGTTATTATACATAAATTAAAAAATATAAATATAATATAAATTTATAATAATAATTTGTCAAGTGAGGTTATTACACATCAGGAGCATATCTTATCGAAGGGCCAAAATTTAACTACTTACTTTATATATTTAATAATCCAATAGACTGATAAAATCAAGAGAAATGAATTTTATATTAATATTAATACTAAAAATTTGTTATAAATAATAATATGTTGCACTTTTAAAAGATGCATGTATCTTGATTTAATTAAAAAAAATTTTAAGTATATACGTTTTTCTTTGCCAAATTTGCTTCTTATTTATGTGGCGTATGTATTAATACTTATGTCTTTAATAACAAAATAGAAAATATTGTTGAATAGTATTTTGAAAGTTTAAAAATATAAGACAATCTGAAATTTTTTCTAAAGATAAATATTTTGAAAACAAAAGGAGTATTTCTAACATATCTTTTGATTAATTCAAACAGGTAGATAGAGTTAATTGATGATATCTCTTCTTTTAAATATTTTTGAATATGATAAATTCTACCTCAATTGTACTTATTTTAATTGATATTTTTTCCCCCATAATACCCAACATTTTAACAGTTTATATATACTTTACAAAGCTAACAACCTTCCAAAAACTTTCTTATAAGTAAATGGGAGTTATATTTTAAAATTTTATTTCAAATAACGCTATTCATAAATTCATAAATTATTAAAAAAAATCTTATATATGAGTTGCATACACTTTTTTATTTTATTATTTATTATTTCTTTCCTACTGGGATGAGTGAGCTTATTTCAATTTCACTTTTTTTATGGAAAAAAAAACTAGAAAATTTCTCCATGCCTTATCAGAAATGTTGCAAAAAACAATTTATATGACATGAAAAATAATAAGTACTAAATTTAAACCATCCATGTTAAGTATTAATATTTTAAATTTAGTTTTAAATTTAGTAAGCACTTAAATTTTATACCAAGCAATTAAATATATTTAGAGGATGCCAAAAGATAGATATACGTGTTTGGAGCTATAAGAAAATCACGCAGCGCTAATTATTTGAAGGTGTAAAAATGCCTCTTCATTTTTTGTTTCAAACTAATTATAAAGATTAAATTATTACCATACGAATTTGTTATAATGATACATAAGTTACCTCTGAAATTTAAAGAGCCCCAATGAGCCAACAGAAAGCCATAAAAATACATTAAGGTTGTATTTGGATGGGTGCATTTAAGTTAAAAATTTGGATTTAAAATCTCACGTTTAAAATTCATAGATTCTAAATGCTTTATTTGAATAATATAAAAATTTTCAATTATAATATTAAATTCTTTGTTTGGATCTAAAGAAAATTTCAAATTTTAATTTCTATATTTGAATGTAAAAGAAAGTTGAAAATTGGTCAAACTCGATGATTCGAATGGGCAACTTTCAATAAGATCAAATAAACAAAACCAACTAGGACGGTGACATTGGTGATGATCGGGACAAGACCTCTGACTTCCATGAGACTAGATCGTCGCGACGATGGGAACGAGACGGCCACTTCCCCAGGACCAAACCGATGGGCAACAACGGGAACAGAACAGCCGACTTTCATCTACCAGACTGACAAGCGACAACGAGAATAGGAATGCCAAATTTCCAAGGTCTGACCGACGGCGTGATGGGTGGACTGGGACGTCCCACTTCCACCAAGATCGGATTGACAGGGACGGAATGGCTAACTTCTATCAAAACCAAACCGACAACCACAACGGGGACTAAACCGTCGATATCCACCAGGATCGGACTAACAGGGAAGATCGGGACCAGATTGATTGTCACGTCCTAAAAATTAGGCATGACTAGCACAAGATGTATGTACAAACATATATCCCTTAAGCCGTGGTAAAGGAAACCTTAATCTAAGATTTAATATTTATTTATAAAACATAATTAGACTTGAAATTTGTGACACATTTACTAATGTTCTCCTGTAATAAAAGTTTCAGTATTTTTGTAGAAATTTCAACAGAACCTCCTCTATAAATAAGATCTCCCGAAAATTCTACAATACAACGTTTCTAACAAAAACATCAAGTCAATCAGGAGTAGAGCTCCTTCCAGCCAGCAAACAAACTATATAACAACATAAACAATCTAATCACAGACTATGTAGAGTACCTAACAATACAACAACAACAATAATAAGCCTTTATCCCACTAGGTGGGATCAGCTACATGGATTGCAAGACGCCATTGTGCTCTATCATTTACCAAAATTTTAAAAGTATTATTAATTAAGAGATCGCGTTCAACAACTTCTAAAAGTGTTCTCTTAGGCCTTCATCTACCCCTCTTAACAGGGCTCAAAGTTATATGTTCCATTCTTTTCACTAGTGCCTCTAGCGATTTTCTTTGTACATGCCCAAATCATCTCAAATGATTTTCTACTATTTTTTTCTCAATAAGTGCTACCCTCTAACAATAAGATTACAAAATAAAATTTCATGATTAAAAAAAAAACTTTACATCAAAAGAAAGTTTAATCCTTAGCTTCTCTACTTCTAATCAATTATAAACTCTTTAATGTCCAGTTGGTGATTAAGCGTCAACTACACTATCTGAGACTAAAATTATTTTCAGTGAATAATGTCCCAAAAATATAATTAATTAAACATGAATAAAAGGAAAGTTAAAAACACAACGTTTTTCATAAAAATTTAAATAAATGTGAAATAAAAGAATTTTATATAACTTTAAATGAAATCTTAAATCATTAAATCATGATATCAAATATTATCTCTTGATTTCAAGGAAGCAAATAAACAAAATGAGTAATTATAAATAGATTACTAATTAAAATCATTGGGATATAAAATCATTAAATCAAATCATTTTATAGGGAACTTGTAAAAAAAAATAATTTTATCAATGTTGTAAGCACATAACATGACTTCAGGAATCAATAGAAATAATCAATGCTTAAAAAATACATACATATATGCACATATATAAATAGATAAAATTGTGAATTGTTGAAATTAATATCTTTGATGAAAAGAAACTTTGCTAATAAATTATTTTAAACATTATCCACTTACCCGAAAATCTTGAAATGCAAAATTCCCCTTTAGTTCCTATCAAAATATTTTTCCTCCACACCCCCTAAAAATATAAAATAATGCAATTTAATTAAATTCCTATAAATTATAAAAGATTTCTTTCCCCTTCTAACTAATCCCAAAATTAAATCATAAGGTAACAGTATACTTTAGAAATTAATAATCATAAAATTCTCAAGAATTCACTTCATCTCTCAATAACATAAATAAATTTCTTTTGCAATATTTGATTCAAGTTCACAAATGAGCAACACCTCAAGCCGACTCATGTTTCTTGTGAGATCCCACAAAGTTATAGAAAAATTCTTATTCAAGTATCTCTTTTTCCAAATTTTTGAGCTAAATTCATAGATAACACCATCTCAGCCAATTATGTCTTTCAAGGAATTTATTGAGACTTTAATAATTGTAATTTCAAGCAAAATTCTCTTAAGGCATTTTATCAGAGACCATATAGGCATTACCTTTAAAACAAATACCAACCTCTTCCTTTATAACTTCACTTCCAAAGATTTCAAAATGTCAATATTATAGCCAATAACCAAATCAAACTCAATTAAAATTCAAATCTACATCATCAATTTTTAAACTTAACTCAAGCTTCCCTTCATATTCGAACACATATACAGCCACGAGCACCAACAAAATACGAAGGAAAATTTGCAATTTCAACTCTATAACATCACACACTTACAGCTTTATCCAAAGGGGAAAAAAAAAGAGGTCAAAGTTGCTCACTTTAGCTGAATTAACGTTGCAAACAGGGAGGAAAAAAATGAAACCACAACTAAACAGGGGAAGAAGATAACAGCATTAAATCAGCCTCTTACCCATAAATCAGCCTTGCAACATCATCAAATTAGCTCTCCACTTATAAATAACTCACGAATAGGAAGAATGAAGGAGAAAGAAGAAGATTCAACATCACAAATAGTAAAAAAAATACAGAGATCGATGGCAAATTGAAAGACCATGGATTCATGACCTGAGCTTCTAGTAGTGGATGACCACAGCACACATTTGCAACACCAACGACCTGATTCTCACACCCATCAGCAACACATGCATGAACAACAAGGACTGAACAAAAACGAAGGAGATAAATAGAGACAGAAAGCACGACTGAGCTTTGGGTGCACACAACTATGGCGAGCCTCCACCTTCACCAGCGACCACTAGAAATGGAAGGGAAGAGACGAAGTGCAATGGAGGACAAAGTATCAGCAAAAAATTGAGGCCTTCTCACTCACAGATGGTTCTGGAAAAATTGAAGAATGAAAGGAGGACATATATTCAAATTTAAAGAAGGGCATAATGGTAATTCTGGGAAGAGCTGAAGCAAAAAAATAAAATTTGTACTCTTAACCTCCTTAAGGTTCCAACTTTAGACCTCCTAATTAAATGGCTACACTATCTCCACCAAGCCAGATCTTATTTCTTGCTCTATTTACTCCAAAATTACTAAAATACCTTTAAAACACAATATTATAATTATACTAAAAATTCCTAGGATATTACACCGACAGCGATGACGGACATCGAATGGCCGAATTCCATTGAACCAAATTGACGGCGATGATGGTGATTGAAAGTCCAACTTCCACCGAGTGACGACCAGATGGTCGCCTTCCGTTGCCATCGCCTCCAGTCTAGTGACCGTCGGTCCAATTCGGTGCCGATGAAAGTCAAACGTCTGGTCCACATCGTCGTCGTCAGTCCTGTCCTGGTGGAAATTGAGCATCCGATCCCATTGTCACCGTCAGTCAGGTCTTGGTGGAAGTCGGTCATCTAATCCCCATCGTCATCATCGGTCCGATCCTGGTAGAAGTCGGCAATCCGATCCCCGTCATCGCCGTCAGTCCGATCCCAATAAAAGTCAGTTGTCCCGTCCCTGTCGTTGCTGTTAGTCCAGTCCCTATGATAGTCAGTCATTCGGTTCTCGCTATCACCGTTGGTCTGGTATTGGTGGAAGTTGGCCATACTGTCCCCGTCATCACCGTTGGTCTAGTCCTGTTAGAAGTTGGCCTTTCGGTCCCTGTCATCGCCGTCGGTCCGATCAGGGTGGAAGTCAAACATCTCGTCTCAATCAACGGTGGCAGCTTCTTTCCGTCAACTTTAGCGCTTCGGTCCAATTACAATTGGCAAATAGATCAAACCTTCATGCACTTGAGTCAAATTACAAAAGAGCTTGAGTTAGGACTTAAAATAAGAGAGATTTAGAAAGGATTTCAAATTACAAAGAGTTTAAGGGAGAGCTTGGATTTGGGTCAAATCTAAATCCATACATTTTTAATTATCCAAACAATGGATTTAGCTCAAATCCAAATCCAAATCCAAATTCAAGTATATCCAAACATAACATAAATGGATGTATAAAACAATATTGAGAAAATCTCAGATACTTCAACAAGTAATCCTCAAAATCATCATCAAAAGCTTTGGGGTCAAATTCATCCTTAATGTTAAACATCATGCGAATTTCCTCAGGAGTCTTCCATCTCATCATGTCTCCTACTTTCTGGGTCGCCAGATCCAGCAGACTCTCGACGTTCAAGTAGTTTGAAGCTTTAATGAGATCAAATAGCATGCCATCGTTGACCTTCAGAAATCTGACATCCCAGTCATCGAGATCAATCTCTAAGGTTTTGTCCTCAGAATGGGAGGATTCAACATGCATATAGCAGTACTGGATGGACCTTGACCAAGATCTTTGTAACACCCTCAAATTTACAAACCGATTTTTCGTAAATTATTAATTCAAGAAATCATTTTTTTTTCATTGAACCCTTATCATACCCTTATCATGGTAGAAAAATTTCTACCATGATACATCCAAGACAATATACCACAGGTCTTAAAATATCTCAAAAAGCAATTAGAACCATGAGGGACAGACATGATCCTCATAGCATGTTATTTAAATCAGGTCATGAATCAAGAGGGACAGATATAATCCTCTTGGTCATATAAATACTTTTAATAAAAAGGATTAGAGTTTACATGCTTCACAAAGAAGATATGTCCTAAGTTGGCACAAGATACATTGTATAATCCAAAATAAGAGGCAACGTAAAAGATGGTGTCTCATAGACCATAATTACACCTCTGGTGCTTTTCTCGGCCGGACTCGCTCCTGTAAAAATATTAACCACGGGGAATGAGACTTAAAAGTCCCAGTAACCAAAAATTAATATGTAATGATGCATGCGGATGTAACTAATCATGCGATTGCTAAGTGGGCACACAAACATTTAACCGAACAATATTTTCAAACAAACCGAACAAGTATTTAATTGCATGACTGCACCTTATATCCTCCTTTCACCATGCTCGGACGCCAAATCACCCGGCCAAAGGTGAGTTGGATCAAGCGACACGCCACTCATTGGGTCCAATGAGGGCTTACCACGTGGTAATAATTAACCGAACAGAAATTCCCATTAACACCATACATTAAAATACCCTGACAAGTCATGCATCATTCAAATATCCAAACAGGAATATATCCGAACAATAATATCTCATCATGATAAATAAAAAAATAAAATTTTAACCCACTTGGCAATAATTTCAAACAAGTATATACAGTATTTATTTTCAATAATTCATAATTTTTCCAAACAACAAAACAACACATAACCATTCACAAACACACTCATCACAACACATTAATAATGGTTACCTTGTGTCTTGAATAACAAGTTCCCCTTCACAACTCCTTTTTCACCACTATCTTTGTCAATATAATCTACATAATTATTTCACAATACTATATATTAATTTTACATTAAAATAAATAACTCTAATTTAAAGAGTTAGAAAGTCTTAAATCTATAGTCCATATTAACACTAATTTAAGATTTATGCCTCATTTAACTTCCCAAATTCTTTTCTAAAATTCTCGTACCCTAATGAACTATTTTTTTTTATCCTCAATTCACTTCTAGTATCACAATTTCATCCTTCTACATTCTAAAAATTCATCCAAAAATAAATTAAAAATTTTAGAATTATCCTGAAGCCTCAAATCACCTTTCTATAACCTCAAAAATACCTATTCATACTTAGATAAATATTTAATAATCATAGGTTTATCCCTACGTCTCAGATTCTACATAAATTCAACCATATAGATCTAGATTTTAACTCAAAAATTCTTAAACATGAGTTTCAACCTTAAAAAAATATTCTATAATATTTTTTATATCCCTAAGAATTTTAACCTATATTTTTAATCCATCATATCATCAGATTAACTATCCTATAGAAAAATCCTAATCAAAATATTTACTCTATCCTACAAAATAATCATATCACTAGAAAGCTAATATTATTTAGAAAATAACTATAAAATTAATTTTGTAATTAAATAAATTTTTAAATGCTAATCTAAACAGGAAAGTTAGAACATACCTGAAGAAAAAGAAAATAATCCCCCCTTGAGAGAAAACGCCGAGCAACGTGAGAGGAAGAGAGAAAAATAATATAAAAATGGGATTGTGAGTCCCAAAATTATATTAAAAAAAACTATAGGTTTGAATTTAATTATTCAAACCTTTGGGCCAAAAGTTGCAATTTTCTCTAAATTACATCTTAGCCTCTCATGCTTCCTAATGCACACACCCCCTCCTTTTTATACATGAAGGCACCTCTTCTCTTCCCTCATCTAACCAATGTGGGACTTAGAAACAACAACCTTCCACCCCCTTTTTTTTTTGTTCCTTCTACTTTCTCTCTTTTTTTTTCAACACATACATAAAAAAAATTATTTATGTATTATATCTTAACTAAATATTGCTTATGTGGTTTTAAATTTAAATTTTTAAATTTATAATTAAATACCTAACCATAATATTATTTCTAAATAACCTCAAATAATATAAATTCCTATTATTATCATTTTTTTTCTCAAAACCTAAATTCCACAATTTCTTTATTATATAAAAAATCAGGATGTTACAATCTTGCCTCTCACTTTAAGAGGAATAGTCATATTGGTTTCAAGTTCAACCCAGCCCTTGATTGACTTTAGCATAAGTGCAACATCATAATTAACGACAAAGGTATCTCCATCAGGGCTTTGTAAATAGACTTTCTTTCCTGACTTCATTGGATGATCATCTAATTTCTCTTCCTGCGATCATTTGTAATGCCTTAATTAGCCTAGACATGCAGCAAAAGGAGAAAAACAAAGAAAATGACTTACAATTCACAATACTCGAAGTTTTGTATGAAATACAAAAACAACCTCAAAGATTCCATGATTTTACAACATATTCTTTTCAAGGTAAAAAAATTTGTAACATTCAAGCGCTAGTTAAAGTTAAAGCATATGTTAGACAAGCTTTGTAGTAGTTACTATAAACATAACAATTTGGTGTAGCATGACCTGCTTTCACCAGACATCAGATCATAATGGAAGCAATATCCTATTTTTCTGCTAGATGTAAACAGTTTCTGCTTATATTATAAAATTTTAACAAAGACAACTGAAAGGTTCGAACTTGGTCTGCTTCATTGAAGTAATGTGAGGCGTAAATTGTGCAGAGTAGCACTTTCTCTATAGAGTGGATGAGAATGAAAAGCTTTTAAAGGCTCGGAACTTAACCTGAGATAACATATACACAGTGTGAAACTGGTAAGATAGGAATGGAGTTCTTAGTGACTGGCCTTGTTTTCATCAAGGAAACTAGAAGATTGATCGATGAATCCATGTCAAGTTATACTAGTTTTTCAGTAAAAGATAGATCACTTGCCATCCCACTTAAAGGCAAATCAGAATAGAACGTAGTCCTGTCTTTATTTATTTCCTCAAAGACTTTTGCATGGTATTTTCTTGAGCCACGTCCAATCTCCGCATAGATGGCAATCACATTTCTTAGCAAAGAACGATCAATGTACTCTCCAGCATGTCGTCTTTCATTCTGACAACAAAAGAGCAATTATTTAATAAAGTCAGGTGATATCAATGTGTCTGTAAGGTAAACTGGTTCCTTTTGGTCAGATTTCAAACTGCAATTTTCTCATCAATGACTGAAATCTAGTTGAGGACGATACAAGAAGGATAGATGCAGGGGAGGTAAAAGTGGATTTCATGAAAGGGACCACAGAAATAGAGAGAAGCAGACTCAATTACCAAAATCAAGTGAAGAACAAATTACAAGCTCCAGGGCATGAGAGAAGTAAGCTGGACCAGAAAAGAAGACTAAACAGAAACAAGAAAGAAAATGATATGTCTAATTTTCATTTCAAGATTATAAGAGGTCCCCACAACCAGATTCCGTTCACCGCTTATCTTTTTCATTCCCTATTTTTATTCACATTTTCCTTACAAACTTCCTCAAAAACCACATCATTTTGTCCTTGCCACCCAAAATCACCTTCACAATCCCATTTTAGAAATCGTTTGGAGAGTATTACTGTGTTAAGCAGCAAACTTAATCTGATGAGGATGAAACGGAAGAGTGAAGACTAAAGCTGACAACAAAGACTGAATGTGAACTCAAAGATCAATAAAGTGCATAAGTTTTCAAAAAAGACACAACATTAAGGGAGGGGGGGAGGTATACCATATATATTACAGCATCCACCATCTGTTTGTTCATCTCTCCATGAACCTGAAACAAGGAGGTAAATTTGTGGATATGTTCTCAGAGAATAATAAAATAAGATGTAAAGTAAATTTGTCAAAAGAATTCATCACCAACCAAGTCATCAAAGGATAATAAGCTACTTTCTTCAACTGAAGGAAGTATCTGTCAAGATAGTGAAAAAATCTTGAAAGCCAACGAGTCATAAATTTGTGATTTAACCATCTTCCAAGTAGTTCTATCAACAAGGCTTCATCTTCCTTCACCCTCAAAGATGGCAGAACTTGGTAAAAGGGGGGGAAGCCATACATATTCAATTATATCATCAATAATGTCTGTACTCTTGACCTTCTGTATTCGGGCAAAATTGATTATTGATGCAAGCAAGCAACCGTACAGATACTAGTAATAATCTCAAAACTAGACTTACAGTGGAATTAATATATTCATCAAAAACCTTTTTATACTGGTCATAGAGCATCTCAGAGTTTTTTTTTGCCCTGGCGATCTGTACACAATTCATAAACAATTCTGGATATTGGAGTTAAGGACATAAAAAAGGAGAGTAATTTTGAGGACACCAGATTCCATGTAAAATTGCCACTCTCAAGTCCATATATAGGAGGAATATGAGGCTTTTCATAGCGGCACTTATACTGAAATCATATCAAAACTTCATAACAAATGTATTATAGGCAACAACCAAACAGATCTGAAGTATAACTTTAACATTTTATATTCCCCTAAAGATGTGCTCAGGTAAATCATAAAATGGGATGGAAATAAAACATTTCAGGCCAGCAGAAAAGTGTACAGAAAACCATCTTAGCATCAAATACTAATAGTTTTAACCAATTGCTCTTCTATGTTAGACATAAGCCATGTTAATGGTCATGGATGTAAAAAATTGAAAAGACATAGGAAACTGAAAATGTGGAAGAACTGGCTTGACTGTTTAATTACCATCAAGAATGCCTTCTTCAAGCAAGAAAAAGAATGATGTATTCAAACCAAGTAGCATTAAAAGCTTTTACAAGATCAGAGAATTCAAATTCCATAGATAAATTCAATTTTTTAAATCTAACATCTCAGTCCCATATTCTACGCTTGAATTG